CCGGGGTTACACCCCTACTCTTTACGAGAAACGCCCTGGGATTTTTAATGACCACAGAGAGTCAGGACCTCGGTTTTACATCTCATCCGAAGGACGGCGCCTGTTTACAGTATAGTGTCCCTGTCACTATACTGGGGCATTAGGACCCACATGGACCGCAGGGTGAGCGCCCCCTGCTGGCCCCACTAATACCTCTTCCAAGTTAACAAGTAAGGTGTATTTGTCGGCAAAACCGCCTCAAAGTCGAGAGCGATATTTCTGTTGGATTAGAAGAGATGTGTTCACAAGCCCGTTTGATTACAGTGTCACAGGGCTACAACACGTCGCCAAACTGTGTCATGCAGCGGCCCTTCCTGCTCACTAGTCACTGCGATGGACGAGCGATTCGGTGCTGCCCGACCCGCAGGCGTTTCACTGCAGAAAGTCTCCAACGTGAGCTGCAGGCCGAGGTAACGAGCAAAAGCGTTATCTCCCGGCAGAACCCTCTCGAAATCGGAGTCATATCTCTGCTGGATTAAAAGAGGTGTGTTCACAAGCCTGCTTGTTTACGGTGTGATAGGGCTGCTTCCCCTCACGGGAAGTTTGGTTGTCTCATTCTGAGTCCCAGAACACGGCGCTGCTCGTACCTGGGAATTGAGTCTATTCTGTGCTGCGAAGGGGAGGTTTTACAAGTCACGGTGTACCTTTGACTTTCGCTGTGGTTAGAAATGCGCTCTTCAGTGCGGATTCTCCCCCACCCCCAAACACACACACAGCACCGCGGTTCCCCTTTAACGACACGCAGACGACCGCTAGGAGAGCGCGTGTCTCAGACGCACGCGCCCTGTGGCTCCCGTGACACAGATGCCGAAAGACCCGCCCTGTTCCGAACCGGCAGTGGGAACGCCGGGCTGTGTTACACTGTCGGCCGCCGTTCCGTTTCAACAACACGCCTTGCGTGCCGATGGATTCCTCGGTTCTTCTAGTTCGGCCTCCATGGAGAGATAGAGCTGCCTTGCGATTCCCAGGAGGTCGGGTTTCTCCCGTGAGCCGTCTCTGATCGAGGGCGGCGCGGAGGCAGGTGATGGGTGATGACGGGGGAGGGGGGGCAGCAGGGAAAAGATCGAATCTGTAGGAGCTGTAACAACGGCTTATTGCGTATTGTTTTTTTTCCCTGCGTTTCTTCTGCCATCCCAGTGCCGTCCCCATGGGCACCAGCACCAAGGAGGATACGAGCAAGTTCTTGGACAAGAACACCCGTCTGAAGCGACCCCTGTCGCCCCACATCAGCATCTACAGGTAGGCCATCGCCACACCCCCACCCCCCATCGATTACTTGCACCCCAGGACTGGACAGCCCTGCTGCAGACACACCGACTGACCCCTCCAGGACCAGGACTGGACAGCCCTGCTGCAGACAC